AGGTAGCAAATTAGTAGCCACTCAGTTCTCAACTTGAGAATTACTTATATCAGAAATTTGAGCTTGTAGATGATGAATATCCACAGACAAGTGTATATTGTTCCACTTTCCTGATTTCCTTTTCAGAGTTGTCTTTATTATTGTAGAGGAATTTGACTAATTTTTATGTATTTCAATAAGTTCCAATAGTTTTCTTGCTGAGGTTTTGAGATTTTCTGTGTATAGCATCCTATCATCTAGAAACAGAGTTTTACTTTTTCTTCACCAACTTGGATGCCTTTAATTTCCCTTTCTTGCCTTATGTTGTTGTTGTTGTTGTTGTTGTCAGGTGCCATCAAGTCGGAACTGACTCACAGCGACCCCATGCACAGCAGAACGAAACAATGTCCGATCCTGGGCCAATCTTACTACCGCTGCCACACTTGAGTCCATCAATGATGCCACCTGGCTGATCCATCTCATTGGAGGTCTTCCTCTTTTATTCTGACCCTCCACCCTACCCAGCATGACATCCTTCTCCATCAGTATGGATCTTTTCCATTGTTTTATTCATATGGTAGATTATGTTGATTGTTTTCTAGCATAGAACTATGTTTGCATGTTGCCTTATAGGTCTGGTAAAACTTGTGACACAATATTGAATAGGAGTGGTGATTAAGGGCATCCTTGTCTGGTTCCTGTTTGCAAAGGGAATGCTTTCAGTTTCTCTCCACTGAGAGTAATGCTGGCTGCTGGATTTGTATATATGTCTTTAACAATGTTGAGGGATTTCCCTATTATTCCTATTTTGTTGTGGTTTTTAAAAAAATCAGGAATGGATATTGGATTTTGTCAAATGCCTTGTCTGTATCAATCAATCTGATCATCAGTATGGATCTTTTCCATTGTTTTATTCATATGGTGGATTATGTTGATTGTTTTCTAGCATAGAACTATGTTTGCATGTTGCTGCTGTCATTGTTAAGCGTCATCGAGTTGGTTCTGACTCAAAGGATGTCTGAGGAGTGACTGATGGGTTTTAACTGTGGATCTTGTGGCTCAAACTGACCTGTGGTCTAGCGCATTATCCTACAGTGCCACACCAGGCAAAGACATAACATATTATTTTTTTGATATGCTGTTGAATTCTATTGGCCAGGATTTTTAAACAATTTTTGTATCTATGTCCATGAGGGATATTGGTCTCAGATCAGCAAAGTAATGCAATTTGAGGCCCCAGGGAGATTCTGTTTGGAACTTGTCCCTACCAAGATGGTTTCAACAACAAGTTCTGTCTTAGGAGTTACATAATGCTCTTTGTAATCAGTGTGTGATCCAAAGGGGCCAAAAGTTAGTTGGGACAATTACTGTGTTCTTGTTTCTAATGAGGCTCTCAGGGAATCTGGCTCAAATGGTCATGGAGACTCCTGTAAATGCCTGCTCTTTGACTCTGCAAACCTATTTCTTGTTCAAATAGCTAAAATCATGAACCCCTATTCCTCCTCATTTGCTCAGGACCTGCCTATATTTCCCAAACTTTCCAGCCTCCATCATAGAGAGAAGAAGTGGGCAGTTGTACAGAAGTGATGGACACATGATAGCTACAGAACCAACCTTCCTCAGGTAAGATTACAGCCGAGGAGACTTCAATATTCTTCTTAAAGCATGAAGTTCTCTTGTTTAATCTTACATATCTAGGGAGCATTAACAGGAGTCCTTAACCATTAGCTGGGTCTTGAGATAAACCCACTAATAATCAGTTATTTCAGTTGTCTTTTTATGATCTATTAAAACAGGCATGAAGAAAAGACTAGGAAGTGTTAAAAGGGTCATGCACAATCACAGATGAGCTGAGTACATCTCTGTGTGTGCTAAATGTTATATTTTATAATATCAAAAGGATGATTCAATGCAACCAGCAACATCTAAGACGGGGTGGGACAGGGACTGGGGGAGACCCTTACTGAGCAACTCTGATAAAGTAAATAAGACCATGGCTGGAGCCTGACTTGCCCCATCTGAACCATAGATCCCAGGTTTCTGCTCTGTGTCTCTCTTCTCTGCATCTGTAACTAGACCCATGAGTGGGGCAAACCAGTCAAGTGTCCCTGAGTTCCTCCTTCTGTGGCTCTCCAGGCAGCCCCAGCAGCAGCAGCAGCTCCTCTTCGGGCTCTTCCTGAGCATGTACCTGGCCACAGTCCTGGGAAACCTGCTCATCATCCTGGCCATCAGCACTGACTCCCGCCTGCACACCCCCATGTACTTCTTCCTCAGCAACCTGTCTTTTGTGGATGTCTGCTTCTCCTCCACTATTGTCCCCAAGATGCTTGCCAACCACATGCTTGGGATTCTGTCCATCTCCTTCTCTGGATGTCTCACGCAGCTGTATTTTTTCATTGTGTTTGGGAACGTGGACAATTTCCTCCTGTCTGTGATGTCCCATGACCGCTTTGTTGCTGTATGCCACCCCTTACACTACACAACAAAGATGACCCCTCAGCTCTGTGCTCTGTTGGTTGCTGGATCTTGGGTCATTGCCAATTCAGATGGTTTGTTGCACACCCTGATGACAGCTCGGCTCTCATTCTGTGCAGACCACAGAGTCCCTCACTTCTTCTGTGATATATCTCCTCTCCTGAAGCTCTCCTGCTCTGACACATACATCAATGAAATGTTGATTTTTACTGTGGGGTCCCTGGTAATGATCACTCCATTGGTTTGCATCCTGGTTTCCTACATTTGCATCACCTGTGCTGTCCTGAGAATCCCATCCACAAAAGGAAAATGGAAAGCCTTCTCCACCTGTGGCTCCCACCTGGCTGTGGTTTCCCTCTTCTATGGCACCATCATTGCTGTGTATTTCAAACCTTCATCCTCCCACTCAGCTGAGAAAGACACAGTAGCTACTATGATGTACACAGTGGTGACCCCCATGCTGAACCCTTTCATCTACAGCCTGAGGAACAAGACCATGAAAGGGGCCCTAAGAAAAATAATTGTCAGGAAGACAGGTTCTATGTGATGAAGGAATCATGAACTCTCAATATTTCTGCCATTTCACTATATTGTGATGAACTATTTATCAATGTCTATAAAGAACTTAAAACATATATTTACATTAGATATATATCAATGGACTCCAATTTATCTGCAACCAGGTATAGATTTATTTGTTTTTAATTATTTTATTGTAAAATATTTTACATAAAGGTTAAGCTTTTGCTTTCTAAGTGATCATTTAAAAAGCTCTACCTAGCCAGTATTTTCTCACTTCCCTTTTAGAAATGCTTAGAATCTCAGTCTCCACATGCTGCAGTGCAGTTTGTTCTGGCTCATAGTGACCCTACAGGTTGAGGAGAACTGCCTTGTAGAGTTTGCAAGACTGAAAACCTTGACTGAAGCAGATTGCCCCACCTTTCTCCCATGGCTCTACTGGAGGGCTGGAACTGCCCACTATTTGGTTATTAGTCAAGTGCTTAACCCCTGTGCCACCACACCTACTACCATTAACCTATTGCCATTGAGTCCTTTTGGACGCACAGTGACCCTATAAGACAAGTAGAACTTCTCCTTTGGTTTTCTGAGACTGGATATCTTACAGGAGTGGGCATCCTCATCTTTTTCCCATGGAGCCACTGGTGCTTAGCAGTCAAATGTTTAACCCTTGTGCTACTGGAGCATCTTGAATTTACAACAGGGCAGTTTAATCCAGGCTGCCTATTAGTATCACCTAGTATCATTTTTATAATTATAAAAATTATTAAAAAATATACTGATGCTAGCTCAAACCTGGAACAATTAAGTAAAAATCTCTGAGTAGGACCCAGGCTTTGGTGGTCTTTCCTTCTTTTCAGTTCCCTGAGGATTCCAATGTCCATTCTGAGTTGATACTTATGCTGATTGCATATCTTCTGTGATTGTTCTTCTTGAAGTGAGCTTAGAAACCTTTGAGGACAGGACAGTCTTTTGTGGGGACTAACATTAGGAAGAAAATTCTCTGTGGGCCAAAATGGCATTGTGCTAAGAGCAATCTTTATGCCATAATTCACCTTTCTGTGCCTCACACAGAATCCTTAGAACTCATCATCCTTATTAATGTCCAACACGTGTGAGTATATTCAGCATGGGTATGCCTTCTTTGGAGCACCTGAGTGGCAGAAATTGGTAAGTGCTCAACTGCTCAATGGAAGGGAGGTTGGCAGTTTGAACCTCTTCAGTGTGCCTTGGAAGACAGCTTGGTCATCTACTACTGACAGGTCACAGTCTTGAAAGTCCAATGGAGGAATTCTATTCTCAAACACGGGTCAGTCATGAGTCAGAACAAACTCAATGGCAACTAAAAACAATAGCAACAACCCCTCCCTCCTTTTTTTTTTTTTTCCTAAGAAAAAGGTCAACATGTGTTATTCCTTCTGTCCAGGAAAGGTCTGTCCCGTTTCTCTACCCTTTAGGATACAAGTCAATGAAGTGTTTGCTGATTCCTGTCTCTGAAATGGTCATTTTCCCCCTAGGGTCTCATACAGCAGCTCTGTTTTCACTGATTACTCAGGTGTCACTGTGTGTTTGATCACAGCTCTGTCCTCGTCCTTCCCTCTAGAGACTATGAGATGCTTGGAACACATACCCAATGTCCATTTCTGTTGCTGGTATGAACTTAAATCTGTGTGCCAAGTAGATGTTTTAGTGCTAAACTCCTATACCTGTGGAGATAATTTAATCCCATTTGGGAATATGGCTTTGTTTATTATGTTAATGAGATATACATTGTGTTTTTGGCACCCTCGGAAACCCTATACAGGGTCGCTATGGGTCAGAACCGACTCGATGGCACTTAACAACAACAACAAAACGTTTTGAAATATAAGAAGGGCAGATTAGACACAGAAAGACACAAAACTGCCTGGTAGGGTTTCTGACACCATAAATTCAGGAGCAGATAGCTTCATCTTTCTCCTGTGGAGTGGTTGGTGGGTGTGAGGTGCTGATCTTGCTGTTAACAGCCCATTCATAACCCATTTTGCCACCAGGGTGATTTAGACAGAGGGGAAGATACAGGCCACTGTGCAGACCACCAAGGAACCAAAGAATAGAAGCTGAAAAGAGACAAGGGCCCTCCCCTAGAACTGGCACACAGAGAAAGCATTTCCCTAGAGCTGGTTTCCTGAATTTGGATATATCATCTAAACTGTGAGAAAATAAATTTCTGTTCAGGGAACTCACCCAACTGACGTATTTCTGTTACAGCAATACTAAGAAACTAAGACAGATGCTTTGTGCAAAGCTTAGCTCCTGACACAAAGTACATAAGAAACCTGATTTTGTTTGAAAAGTGAGTTAGTAAACATTTTCTGAGCCTTCAATTTCTCCTCTGTAACTGGACAAGGACTCTATAAATTATAATTTTGGAATTATAATACATGCACACTACAGGAGATTAAAAAAAGTATGGTAATGGTGGTGGTTAAGTGCCGTGGAGTTGGTTCTGACTCATAGCAACCCTGTATAGGGTTTCTAAGGCTGTAAATCTGTACAGGATCAGAAAATGTCATCTTTCTCCTATGGAGTGACTGGTATATTTGAACTGCTGACCTTGCAGTTAACAACTCAGCTCATAATCCACTACATTACCAGAAATAAGTAACCTGTAACAATACTGTCAAAAATATAAGAAAATGATTTTAACCAAACCTGACCTCAAACTATATAATACTGCAACCTGATTTTTCCATGTGCCAATTTTCCATGGTACTCATTACTCTATCTTGACAACTCTAGGAATTTGAAAGAGAAGAGCAAACAAAGCCCAAACTAACCAGAAGAAAGAAAATAGCAAAGATCAGAGAAGAAATAAATAAAATCTAAATAAGAAAAAAATGGAAAGAATCAATAAAACCACAAATTAGATCTTTGATAGTATCAATAAAATGGGTAAATTTTTATCTAGAATGAAAAAAAAAATAGAAGATGTAAATAATCAAAGTAAGAAATGATATAAATAAAGGAAATTATGACATAAAATTATGAGCAAATGTATAACAACAAACTGCATAACCTAGAAGAAATGGACAAATCCTTAACAGTATTTGTTGTTGTTGTTGTTAAGTGCCGTCAAGTCGGTTCCGACCCATAGCGACCCTGTACAGGGTTTCCGAGGGTGTAAATCTTTACGGGAGTAGAAAGCCTCATCTTTCTCCCGCGGAGCGGCTGGTAGTTTCGAACCGCTGACCTTAAGGTTCGCAGCCCGATTCGTAGCCACTACGGCCTCCCCAAACTGACTCAAGAGGAAATAGAATGTTTTAACAGACCCGTTGCAAGTGAAAAGATCAAATCAGTGTTCAAACTCCCCACCCTTCATCTCCTCAACATACTCCCTATCCTACCAAAAAGTCCTAGGCAGATGGGTTCCTTGAAAATTCTGTGAAACATTTAGAAAAGAATGGACATTAATGCTTTTTTAAAAAATTTCCAAAATAAGAGATGGAAGGAAAGTTGCACACATACTGGTTTTTGTTTTTGTTTTAAATTTCTACTTTTTATTGTGAATTGAGTGAAGGTTTACAGATCAGATCCTTAGTTTTATATTCAATAAATCCTATATTTCATTTTGTTTCTTAACAGAAATAGAGAAATGAACCCTCAACTTAAAAAAAAAAAAAAAAAAAATAATAAAAGGGCAAGAAGACCTGAATAGCTAAGGCAATGTTGAAAGAGAAAAAAACAATGTAGGAGGACTCACACTTCCTGACTTAAAATATACTATATAGTGACAGTAATTCAAACAATCTGGTACTGATATAACAATGGACCCATAGACTAATGGACTAGAATTGAGAGTTCAGAAATAAACCACATCTATGGTCAACTGATTTTTGACAAGGAGCTCTGGTAGCGTAGTGGCTACGAATCGGGCTGTGAACCTTAAGGTCAGCGGTTCGAAACTACCAGCCTCTCCGCGGGAGAAAGATGAGGCTTTCTACTCCCGTAAAGATTTACACCCTCGGAAACCCTGTACAGGGTCGCTATGGGTCGGAACCGACTCGACGGCACTTAACAACAACAACAACAACAACATGGTCAACTGATTTTTGACAAAGGTGTTAAATCCATTTGATGAGGAAAGAGAAGTTTCTTCAATGAATGCTACTGGAAAAATTGGGTTTCCACTTGTATAAAAATGAAACCGGATTCATTACTTACATCATACACAAAAACAAATTCAAAATGGATTAAGACATAAATGTGCAAACCATAAAATTATTAGAAGAAAAAGCAGGAGCAATACTGTCAAGGCTAGCTTTTAGCAATGGATTATCTAATTTAATAACAAAACTGCAAAACACAAAAGACAAATTAAGGAAAAGGGACCTCATACGAATTTAAAACAGATTTTCTTTTTCTTTTGTGTGGGGGACTATACACAAAAACACTCGGGAATACATAATAATTTAAACAACCAAAGGGCACATTGTGTAAGCCTGCCTCCTGGCCACCAGCACCCAGTCCCTCTCTTTTCATGAATCCAGAGTCCTCAGTTGCTCTATCTCTCCATGTCCTTGTCTCTGTCTCCATCTCTGGTATCACTGCTTCTCTGGATAGGGTCCTGCATTACATTTGTGCTTTTCTCCCTTGATGGTCCTAGGGTCCTCTGTTCCTGGACTGTAAGAATAACTGCACCCCCCTTTCTGTTACAGAACTTCTACCTTTATTGTGACAGTCGTAATTAGTCATAACAATTACTATTGAATCATAAGAATCCTATCCCCATATCTTTTCACCAGACCCATCTAGATAAGATGTAAACTATTCAGTGGAGACTCTACCTTCCCCTGCACACTCTTAAACTAAACTCCCCCTTGAAAACTTGTAAGCCAGTCACTTCATGCCTTCATCACCCCCACATTTTAGGTATTTATAGAATACAAATTACAATCTTTCAAGAAAGTGAGGCAGCACAGGAGGCACTCACTCATCCCTGCCAAGAAATTTGGAAGACAACTGTCTGGCCAACTTATTGGAAGAGAT